CTCCTTACCTTCCGCCGTGCCCTCAAGACATGGCTTTTCCAGCAAGCGGGCCTGACCTAGGGAGGATTTTATTTAGGGTGATTTTAAAAATAATTTTAAATAGAGACACAGCTTCTAATATTCGGTTTTTTAATCTGGTTTTACAGGGGTTTGTATTTTTTATGCTTTGTATTTGTACTGTTTTTAATACGCTGTGCACTGCCCTGAGTCCTGCGGGAGAAGGGCGGTATATAAATTAAATTAATAATAATAATAAATTAATAATAATAATATTTAAACTCAGAGCAAATTTATTTTTCCTGACATTTAATATGCCTACTAAATTTATTTTATCCTGAGGAATTTTGTGGGTGAAGCTTAGAATGAGTACATATGTGCAGCTAAAAAAGTACACAAAGATTAAATATGATTAAACAAACAATGGTGTTTAACAATCTGCAGATTTCCTACATCTTATACAAGAATAGAAAAATACTACTACTGGAATGATACCTTGTTTTATCTGATCATTTAACAAAGACCAAAAGATGTATTTTTAAAATCCAATTTAATAACTAATAAATCAATAACTGTGTAATATGTTTTTTTTACTTTGTTTTGCTTTCGGTATCTGGAAAATTGGAATTGGTTTGACATATTAAAATTTTCTGAGGAAATTCTATGTGGTTAAGTTTCCAAACTCATCTAAAAGTAGAAAACATTGTTATTTTATGAGGTTCATTGCTTTGCAACTAAATAAATATTGGGAAATCAATTTTTGTTACAGAGAATTTACTTTTCAAGCTTCAATAGCAACAAAAATAGAGTTCTCTGATGTATGATAACTGGCTTACATTTAATTGATTGTTATTAGTGCATACAACTATCTTAAGAATCTTTCATAAACTAAAAACTTTTCTAGATTATATATTGTACTATAAAGTTTGTTGTAATCTGATTGGTACTTATCCGTTTTTCTCTTTTTGTTAACTTATCAATATCAATAACTAATCAGCATCTAGCTTCATTTTTTAGCTTCATTTATTCTACATTAGAAGGAAGCAGAAGTTACTTGAATTCTAGTTTCTGGAAGATTAATTTTGGCTGCCAGCTGATTGCGGATGTTGATATCTGGATAGTGTGTAGCTTGGAAGATTCTCTCCAATTCCTTGAGCTGCTCTGCTGTGAATGTGGTCCTAATTCTACGCTTCACCTTCTTGTCATCTGTACAAAAGACAACAGATTTAAAAGAAAAAAAAATCTCTTAATATAGAAAGAAAATCTAACCAGAAGAAGAACAGAAGAACCATGTATATTTCAAATATTTTTGATAGATCTACCGTGCCTGTCTCCCATTCTGTTTCAGGATGCCTGCACAAATCCTGAGAGTTTAGTTTTGTAGGTGAGACTGAGAGATAAATCCTGGCCTAAACAATGCTGCCATCGGGCCTGACCCATTGCATTATGATGAATGCAAAATGGTTTCTATGCATGATCAATTGTTCATCAGAAACAAGTTATCATTCCTTTCTGTTCTGGGTGTTCTGACAGCAACCAGAATATTGATTCCAGATCTGGGTGCAATATTTTGGTAAGAACATTGGCAGACTAGAATCTGATCAGAGAAGAATAACTATAAGATAAGAAAAAAATAGAAAAAGAGATTTGAGGCATTATGTATGATTAGTCTAAAGAAGACTGGTGAGGCCTGATAACTATCATCAAGTACATGAAAGCTGGCATGTAAAACATCTGCAGAGCTATTTAAAGCTGTTATTTAGAGAAAGAAGAGTTTGAATTATGGAAGGTAGGCCAATTTTCAGTTCTAATTTCAAGATGGCCAGAGTCCTTGACTGCTCTGGGCAGTTTACAAATAAAAAGAAAGACAAGTAGAATGGTGGTAAAAGCTATCCAACAAAGGACTAACTCTTTTAGTGCATTCCCTACTAGAAGTATTGATGGCCATCTGTCAGAAATGTATTTCTGCACTAGGTAGAGAGTTGGGGAAGACAATCTCCAAGATTCTTTTGAAACATATTCTATGCTTCTAGAAGATCCATAAGATTGAGATCCAGCACAATTATAAATTACAATGCACAAGTAGCTTTATTTGCCCTAATGTGTTTAGAAAAGCCTATACTTCATACAAAGATTTTGAGGTAGTAGGCAATGGAACAAACAGTGCAGTTGGGTTATCCTGCTAGGACCCCACTCTAGCTTTCACATGTTGTCCTAGAATGGGGAGAAAAGTATAAATAAGGCTAACCCGAGATTATTGCATTATGTCAGACACTTAATATCCATAATGGCAATTTTACTTTGCTCCATATATATTTATTTTATACTTTTCCCATTAATTGTTTATATGATGTACATTGCCCAAGTCACTCATTGAAATGGGCACCTTTAGAAATCAAAGACATAAATAAATGCAAAAAATGACATAAAGCTCTGGAAGAAGCTTCTGGAAGATCAGTTCAGGAAAGCAGGCAGACCATGTAGCTGGTCTACAACTTGTTACAAAAGAATGTATTTGATTTATTTTGTAATGATACCTAATATGAATTTTCCTTTTAATCATTTTGTCAGGTACAATTCCATAAATCTTTCATACAGTAGATCTATCTTCAGTTATCTGGTTACTAAGATAAAAAGTGGTATCTACAGTTATCTGGTGTATATGGCTTTGCAAAATAACAGGCTTCAAAACAAACAGGCTTGATAAGATTCATTGTGATAATCAGAATTGAAGATAATTGGTGACAATGTTTTCAGCATAGGCTTCAATATATAATCAGTTGGGTAGAAAGAGGAACATCTTTCTTGATCTATGCTGTCATTACTATCTTAGCAAAGAATAAAGAGTCAGATTGATTGATTGATTGAATTAATAAATACAACCCATTAGTAGGAAGCTCCATCTCAAACCCTTGAACTTTTAGTATATCAAAGTACAAGTCATTAGATACTTCTCCCCTGACTACTTCCACGACTGTCAGTCATGATTGTCAATCATGCTGAGTCTTGCTGGCATTATGACAGCATTTAACAGGTCCCCACCTTCTAGCCTTTTCAGAGGGTCCTTAAGACCTACCTTTTTACTGAGGATTGAGGAGTGTCTAAGTGGATTATATGGAAGGAGGGCAATAGAACCTGCTATAGAGGATTCCAAGGGCACAGAGTTTGTTTAATTATCTTTTATCTATTATTTATTATTTCCTATTTTTACTTTTATTAATGGTTTATGTATTCGTTTTATTGTTTTTTAGAGTTACGCAGAATTTGGCAGAATTGAGCAGCATAAATATTTTAAAGAAAGAAAAAGAAAGAAAGGAAGGAAGGAAGGAAGGAAGGAAAGTATGCTGTGATTAAGAACTGAGCAAATGTTCCTTGTGTGTACATTAAAAACAATAATCCTGAAGCTGTAATTTTATTGAAAGAAATTGTTTTAGAACACAGGTGTCAAACTCAATCGTGTCATGTGACGTATTGCGACACATCGCAACATTTTTTGCCTTTGTGGAGCTGGGGTAGGCGTGGCCTGTGCGTGACGTATCCGGGCATCAGTTTGACACCCCTATTTTAGAAGAAGAGTTTAATCTCTATCATCTAACTGATAGGCTTCTGTATTATAAGAAGGAAAGATATTCTTGCATGGAACCCACAGCAGGAATCCAAGAGAGAATTAATTGTTTTTTTTGAGGAGATCTATCAGGAGGCAAATTGCCAATAGTTTTGTGGGGGATGGGTATTGAGAAACAGAGGGCTGCCTCCATCTGTCATATTTACTGTTAACCAAACACCACAAAGACTTCTTTTATTTACCAGCTGCACTCATTCTGAGTAATCAGTTTCAAGCAGTGATGCAGCTATGTCATTCTCCAGTACAGGAGACGGAGACTCCACCAATGGGTTTTCTTTGTCTGCCTGCTCTTGAGACCAAGTATCCAAAACTTGTCACGCCCCCTCCTACTGGTAACCCAGTCTTAACTTGGTCTCCGCTCTTGATGACTCATTTTGGCTTGGCTCTCTGCTAGATCAGGTTAGACAAATCATAATCCATTGGTGAAGTCTCCTCAAATATTGGCTATTTTAAAAAATTTTTAATAATTAAATCAGTGATTGGTGTAACTTCCCTCAGGCTGTTAGCAGCTTGTTGGGGAGGTGAGGAGTGTGTGTGGGGGGGTGAAATCTCTCTTCCCTCATTCCTCCCAAATTTGAAATTAGAGTGGGGGGGGGAGGTAGAAGATCAACAGAGACTACTTGTTGATCTTGCCCTCCACCTGCCCTATCATTATTTACCTCAGGAATTGTAGAGGTAATCAGGCAAATCCTGACTCCCCTCAGGCCTTTCAGGCCTGTCGCAGTCCCTTTTAAACGATCCGAAAATTGCGGCCGCCATTTTGGATGCATTTTCGGCATCCGAAATTTGCAAAAAAATCAAATTTTTGCCCTTTTTGTAATTGCGGCCACAATTCCCCTGGGCCTTACATCGTCCCACAGGGCCTCTGGAAGGGCGCAGGATTGCGGGAGGCCTGATTTCAGCCTCCCAAAAAGTCGCGGCCGCCATTTTGGCCGCATTTTCGGCGAAAGAAAAGAATTGATCACTAGAACTTCAGCCTTTCGGCTCAACTAAATTAGGTCCCCACCAGCACTGTGGCACCCCGCTGGAGCTCGGACAGAGCCTCGGAGCTCCTGGAGGCCCTTTTCGATCTCCAGACAAGTCGCGGCCGCCATTTTGGATCATTTTGGCGCCCGACCTAGTCGCGGCCGCCATTTTGAAGCATTTTGGCGCCCGACCATTTGTAGCTTAGTTTAGTCATTCCGATCCTCTGGGCACTTCATTGGTTGTGAGCGGTCCTTCGGGGGTGCATTGGGACGCACGTGACTCACGATCGCAACGGCTGCATAAAGGTCCATCTCAACCAGCAGGCCAGCGTTGGGGGGGTACTCCCCTATCTCCCGCTTAACAAGGGGGCCATTTTAGACTCGTTAACAGCACTTGAGGCCTAACGGGGCCTACCAGTAAGCTCCTCCAAGACCAATAACAGCTCAGGGCGATCTGGTTAGGATTTAACCTGGTGAGGGATCACCTTTCTCTTCACCCCGGTAGCCGCCATCGCGCTTAAAATTGTGCAAGTCGGACCTCCACAGCGTTTGGGGTGTCCTGACATTTTGGCTTCTTAAATTTTTTTCTGGTGCACACCGCCTGGTCATCTAAGGCCTCCGGGAGGAGCTCAACAGTGGTTCTAAACGTGCCTTCGGCCCTGCCTCGACCGCCGTGACCATAGTCCAGAGAGAATTTTTTATTGGTCGGGTGACCAGGGGAGCAGTCCTCGTACTTGCTCCAATACCGCTTCCGCCAACGCTTGCCTGCCAGAGCTTTTATCTCAGCTTCTGTTTCTGGGATAGCTCAAATGGGATGGAAGGACCCTCGTTGCCCCAGTCCTCAGGCACGAATCCTCCACCTCCCGGCCACGGCTGCAACCTTCCTTCTGCTCAGAAGG